CACCTGCTGTTCCTTCTGCCTGGATAACCATCCTTCCTCTCTTTGCCAAGTCAATACCTACTCTTCCATCAAATCATAGCAGAAGTACCATTTCTTGAGGATGCATTTTCTAACCTGGTCAAGTTTCACTAATATCACTTATACCACTGCTGCAGTTATAATTTTACATTTAATTTAATATTAATATTTATTTCCTCCACCAGCCCACAGGTTCCATGGGGGATGGTATCACATCAGGGTTTCCTCCACATTATATCCTCAATGCCTGGTTACTTCAATAAAAATATGTTGCATGAATGATCAAATGCATGAACCATGCTCAAGAACCATCAAACATGGTCCACATTGCCTAGGTCAAAGTTCAGGTGCCTGAAATCACAAAACGTTCAATACTAGGTCAAGCTCCCAACATCATGATCTTTACTACATCTAATTTCCTTTAACAAGGTCCCTTTAGCAGAGATAATGAAGTTTATTCATCACAGGCCTTCTTCTGCTGTCTTCCTATTTACATGAGGAAACCATCAAAAAATCAAACTCCATTGAATACTCTAAAATAAAGCAATCTAAATCTAAGTTTGATTACAATTTTCAAAACAAAATTATTATTTTTTTAATATCTCGCTGTCAAGTCCCAAAGCAAAGATAAATCCCCGTTTGTCTTGGAATCTGAACCTCCTACTCAACTTACCTCAAAACAAATTACTGAAAATAAAAGTCTACCAAAAAATAACATTTAAACAAGTTTACCCATACAACTATGGTCAATTAATCTATGACAAAGGAGGTAAGAATATACAAGGGAGAAGAGACAGTTTCTTCCATAAATGGTGGGAAAACCGGCCACATGTAAAAGAAAGAAATTAGAACACTAACACCATACACAAAAATAAACTCAAAATGGACTAAAGACCTAAATGTAAGACCGGATACTATAAAACTCTGAGAGGAAAACATAGGAAGAACACTCTTTGACATAAATCTCAGCAATATCTTTTTGGATTCACCTCCTAGAGTAATGAAAATGAAAACAAAAATAAACAAGTGGGACCTAATTAAACTTAAAAGCTTTTGCACAGCAAAGGAAACCATACCCAAAACAAAAAGACAACCCTCGGAATGGGAGAAAATATTTGCAAAAGATGAGACTGACAACAGATTAATCTCCAAAATATACAACAGCTCATGCAGCTCAATATCAAAAAAACAACAGCCCAACCAAAAAATGGGCAGAAGATCTAAATAGACATTTCTCCAAAGAAGACATACAGATGGCTAAAAAGCACACGAAAAGATGCTCAATATCACTAATTATTGGGGAAACACAAATCAAAACTACAATGAGGTATCACCTCACACTGGTCAGAGTGGCCATCATCAAAAATCTACAAACAGTAAATGCTGGAGAGGGTGTGGAGAAAAGGGAACCCTCCTACACTGTTGTGGGAAACTGGTACAGCCACCATGGAGAACAGTATGGAGGTTCCTTAAAAAACTAAAAATAGAGCTACCATATGATCCAGCAATCCCACTCCTGGGCATATAACTGGAGAAAACCATAATTCGAAAAGATACATGCACCCCAGTGTTCACTGCAGCACTAATTACAAGAGCCAAGACATGGAAGCAACCTAAATGTCCATCAACAGAGGAATGGATAAAGAGGATATGGTACAGGGACTTCCCTAGTGGTGCAGTGGTTAAGAATCCACCTGCCAATGCAGGGGACACGGGTTCGATCCCTGATCCAGGAAGATCCCACATGCCGCGTAGCAACTAAGCCCGTGCGCCACAACTACTGAGCCTGTGCTCTAGAGCCCACGAGACACAATTACTGAAGCCCGCGCACCTAGAGCCCGTGTTCTGCAACGAGACGCCACGGCAAGGAGAAGCCCACGCATCGCAACAAAGAGCAGTCCCCGCTCACCACAACTAGAGAAAGCCCACAGGCAGCAACAAAGACCCAACACAGCCAAAAATAAATAATAAATTTTATTTTAAAAGAGATGAGATGTGTATATATATACAATGGAATATTACTCAGCCATAAAAAAGAATGAAATTATGCCATGTGCAGCAACGTGGATGGACCCAGACATGATCATACTAAGTGAAGTCAGACAGAGAAAGACAAATATCAAATGATATCACTTATATGTGGAATCTAAAAAAAATGATACAAATGAACTTATTTACAAAACAGAAACAGATTCACAGACTTAGAAAAGAAACTTATAGTTACTAAAGGGGAAAGGAAGGGGGGAGGGATAAATCAGGAGGTTGGGATTAACATATACACGTTATCATATACAAAACAATCAACGAGGACCTACTGTATAGCACAGGGAACTCTACTCAATACTCTGTAATAACCTATATAGGAAAAGAATCTGGAAAATAGATATGTGTGTGTGTCTGTGTGTGTGTCTGTGTGTATAACAGAATCTCCTTGCTGTACACCTGAAACAGTGTAAACCACTGTGTAAACCACTATACTCCAAAATAAAATAAAAATTAAAAAAAATAAATTTTTAAAGAAGTTTAAATCTCTAGACATAAAAAAAAAAAAACCTCAGTAGGAAAAGGAAAAAACATTGGGGCAATGTTTGGATGAAAAACCCTCTTCCACCATACAAAACAAGAAGACAACGTCCCCATGAATTCTGGCAAAGTCAATACTCAGCCTTATTCACAAAATTCTTGGATAGCTTCCTTGGCCTAAAAACCCCAGGCTATTTCAGTGACTGAGTAAAGCCTGTGTATAGATATGGTTGCTTAGGGGAATTGCCTGTTTTGACGGTAAGCAAACAGTTCTCAATGGTGTTTCAATAATTCAAAGTCATTAAAAACAGTGGATAAAATAATTCATGACAAAATATTAGATGTAAAAAATAAGGTTAGGTCTTGTTCACAGGGTTACACAATGGCACACGTAGAAGGAAGACTGGAACTCACAGACCTTGAACAACTTCTTCATTCATCTGCCCAAACAACTTTCCTTTTCCCACTTACTTACAACTTTCCAAATAAACTGACTTTCAGACAACCCAAAAATTTTCAGGAAAATGTCTACACAGAAAAGAAAATGCTGGTAAATAACACTGCCCCTTTATCAGTGTAAAACTACTCCCTCTGGGAACATCCCTGGCAGTTCAGTGGTTGCGACTCCCCCTTCCCCTGCAGGGGCTGTGAGTTCAATCCCTGGTCAGGGAACTAAGATCCCACATGCCTCACAGCCAAAACCCCAAAACATAAAACAGAAGCAATATTGTAACAAATTCAATGAAGACTTTAAAAATGGTCCACGTCAAAAAAAAAAAAATCTTAAAAAAAAACTACTCCCTCTGTAGCCTGGATTAAAATTTTATTAGAAAAGCATTTTTACACAATTATGCCTTATCTATTTCTAAAAGGCTAAAGACCTTACGATCTACAGATCAGACTTTATTACAGGTTTCAAGATTCAAATTACTGATGAAACATAAAAGATTTGCCTTCACTGGCTTTCTTTTTCTTTTTTTGCGGTACACAGGGCCTCTCACTGTTGTGGCCTCTCCCGTTGCGGAGCACAGGCTCCGGATGCACAGGCTCAGCGGCCATGGCTCACGGGCCCAGCCGCTCCGCGGCACGTGGGATCTTCCCGGACTGGGGCACGAACCCGTGTCCCCTGCATCAGCAGGTGGACTCTCAACCACTGCGCCACCAGGGAAGCCCCTTCACTGGCTTCCTAATATGAATAATAAAGCACTCAAAGTGTTCAAAAAGAGGGTACTGACTGGAAAGGGGCATAAAGGAATTCTAGGGGGAGGAAAATGTTCTACGCCTTGGTCTGACTGGTAGTTATAATTATACACATACAGCAGCATACATATGTAAAAATTCATTAAGCTATATATACATCTTAGATTTATGCATTTACTAGAAATTGTACATCAAGCTTTTCTGGTTTTTGTTTTTTGTTTTTGCGGTATGCAGGGCTCTCACTGCCGCAGCCTCTCCCGCCGCGGAGCACAGGCTCCGGACGCGCAAGCCCAGCGGCCATGGCTCACGGGCCCAGCCGCTCTGCGGCATGCGGGATCCTCGCAGACTGTGGCATGAACCCGCATCCCTGGCACCGGCAGGCGGACTCCCAACCACTGCGCCACCAGGGAAGCCCCATCAAGTTTTTTTAAATGAAATTTTTAAAAAGGTTCCAAAGAATTACCTCATTATCCCAAAGCACATAATGTAAGAACAGTCAGATTTCGTCTTCTATTAGTAAAAAGAATCAAGCATGGAGAAGTAAAGCAATTTGCTTTGTTAACTCAAAATGAAGAAGGAAAACAAGTCTCCCAACTCTTTTCTATCAGTGATCTAACCTATGTGTGTCACAGACAATGAGACTGAATCTCGAGAGCCTTCTACTGAGAGTAAAAAAAAAGTCAGAGAAAGAAAGAGGACACAATCAATCCTAGTTCACCAAGTTACCCAGAATAAGGCTAGAAAACTGAGGAACCAAATCAACATCCTCTCTATCCCCAAGTGACATATTATTATTCACAAACAACATAATTATTTTAATCTAGAACTGGTTATGAAATAATGCAAAGAATGCAAAAGAAGTTTCAGCTTCATACTTCCTCTAAACACTATCACAGTGCTACCTCTTGCTTCATTCTGTAGTTTTTCTAAGGGTCTGAGGCACTATACTCCCCGGCCTTTACTTTAGGCCATTTACATGTCTTGAGTGAGATAGTAAGAAGTGTATACAGTTTAGGCTTCAATGGACCAAGGTAAAGTATGGCTCTTATTTCATAGTCACAGAGTTTTAGAGTTGGGCTAGATCTGAGCAGCCAGTTATTCACTTAATGAATAAAGAAAGTAAATCTTAAAATGGTTAAGGGACTTGCCTAATATCTCAGAGCTAATAAGTGGCAGAGTCAAAATTGAATCCTGGGTGTTTCAGTAGTGAGCGGCGGGTGAGCCAGAAGGGCTTGAGGGACAGGTGGAAAGCAGAGATCGGCTTCTCAGTTCATGTGAAGAAAGCAAAATTGAAGGCTGTGTAATTGAACCTGAGGGTCCCTCTTGTATATTCCTGCCTGTTTCAGTTTCCAGCGGCCCTGGTTAAAATCTACAAAAAGCCAACCTAGGGCCACAGGATGGGATCAGTGACATTCCAGGATGTGGCCGTGGACTTCACCCTGGAGGAGTGGCAGCTGCTGCGATGTGCTCAGAGGAAGCTGTATTGGAATGTGATGCTGGAGAACTTTAGAAACCTCATCTCAGTGGAAGTTATCTGCTTACTTGATGATGAGCTAGAGGGACAGGAAGGAGAAGGAAGCAAAGACAAATTTTTAAACCAAGGTATGTTCACCTTCAAGAAAACACTGACCAACAAGACAGTCCAAAATTGTAAACTGAGTATAAATTTTATTTCTTCAAGACAAAAACAACATAAGTGTGAATCAAATGGAAAGTGTTTGCAACCTAACATACTTTCTTAGTTAGAATAAAAGTTATATCAGAGAAAACTCATGAATACAAGGAATGTGGAAAAGCCTTCAGAAACAAGTTGTGTCTTATTAGACATGAAAAAAAGCACAGAAGGAAAAAAACCTTTGGGTGCAGTGAATGTGGGAAAGCCTTCCAAAAAGAAGTCTCGTCTCATTAGACATGAAAAAAGCATACAAGAAAAAAAAAACACCTTTGAACGCAGTGACTGTGGGAAAGCCTTTAACAGTAAGGGACACCTTGCAGCTCATCAAAGAATTCATAGTGGAGAGAAACCCTTTGTGTGCAGTGATTGTGGGAAAGCTTTTACGCATAAAGCACAACCCGTGGTCCATCAGAGACTCCACACTGGAGAGAAGGCTTATGAATGTGGTCAATGTGGGAAATCATTCACCTGGAACTCCTCCTTTACTCAGCATGTGAAATCGCACACACCTGAGAACTCATTTGAATGTAGGGAGTGTGGGAAGAGCTTCAAGTATAGCTCATCCCTTTATAAACACTCCAGAATCCATACAGATGAGAAACCATACCAATGCAGAGAATGTGGCAAAGCCTTTGCAGACTCATCAGTGTTGATCATGCATCAGAGAATTCATACAGGCGAGAAACCCCACGGGTGCACTGAATGTGGCAAAGCCTTCATCAAGAGATCACATTTCCTTAAACATTACTCAACTCACAGCAGAGCAACAAAATAAATGCAACACATGTGGGAAATCTTTTAACTGGAAGATACATCTCAATCTCCATCAAAGAAGTCATAAAAACAAGGGAGCTTTGTTAAATGTGGGAAAACTTAAAATTAGCCTTTTACTGAAGCAGCAGCAAAGAATTCATCATGAGAAAAACCCTATCAGTTAAATAAATGTGGAAAAGCATGTTCTGAAATTCATGTTCTATAAGTGATATTACTAATTTTATTGAAAAGATTACAGGAAATTTTGAGCTACAGACAACTTTACAGTAAAACTGAGGAAGTTGTGAAAAAATTGAATTAAGGCATCAGACTGACTATAATTGCATGTGTACACTGCCCCTAATTTATGATTTTTACACAATTTATACAAATGTCTGCATTGCTTAAGAAATTTGTATAACTGTGGGTTTGAAATATATGCTATGCACATTATACAAAATTATATCTGTTATAACGATGGTTGCACAACATTGTGAACGTACTTAATGCCAATGAATTGTACACTTAAAAATGGTTTAGGGCTTCCCTGGTGGCGCAGTGGTTGAGAGTCTGCCTGCCGATGCAGGGGACATGGGTTCGTGCCCCAGTCCGGGAAGATCCCACATGCCGCGGAGCAGCTGGGCCCATGAGCCATGGCCGCTGAGCCTGCGCGTCTGGAGCCTGTGCTCCGCAACGGGAGAGGCCTCATCAGTGAGAGGCCCGCATACCGCAAAAAAAAAAAAAAAAAAAAGGTTTAGATAGTACATTTTACATTCTGTATATTTTACTACAATAAAAAATGTATTAAAAAAAAAGTTGAATCCCGCCTTCTATTCACCACACCACACCTATATCGCTGCTCAAACAGAACCTGGATACCACCTTATCTAAAGGAATAATTATACTCTGGAGAAAAAATGGTTCATATTATCCAAAGTCTCACACTCATCTGTCCCACAGCACTATTATTTTAATTTATAATCAGAATTATAACTGTCAACCAGTTTACAGTCAGTACCTTCTTTTCTCAGCAGTAAAATCCCTGGTAACTAACTGGTAAACTGAATTAATACCAAAACGTTACTTGGTAAATGAATAATCAAAGCAAACAGAGATAAGTGGTTTTAAAGAATACATGCGGCAAGTTCTTTTCATGGCAAACCACCTTACTTCATCTAAGACATTCATACGGTCATTCATCCATTCATCAAACACTGAAATGTCCACTAGGTGTCAGGCACTGTTCTGGGCTCAAGGAATACAGAGACAGATACGGGGGACTTTGGTTTAAGTAGACAAACAACGGAATGCAGTAAGGGCCATGATGGGACAACCAGGGTGCTGTGGAAGCCCAGAGGAGCAACATCTACTCTAATCTAGAAGGTCAGGGAAGTCAGACCAGCTTCTTACTCTCTCAAGCAAGCAGGCTTCTCATCATTCTTTTTATTTATTTTTTTTGGGGGGGGGTACGCAGGCCTCTCACTGTTGTGGCCTCTCCCGCTACGGAGCACAGGCTCCAGACGCACAGGCTCAACGGCCATGGCCCACGGGCCCAGCCGCTCTGCGGCACGTGGGATCCTCCCGGACCGGGGCACGAACTCGTGTCCTCTGCATTGGCAGGCGGACTCTCAACCACTGTGCCACCAGGGAAGCCCCTCATCATTCTTGAAATATACCATTTTGGGAATTGCCTGGCCGTCCAGTGGTTAGGATTCCGCCCTTTCACTGCCAAGGGCCTGGGGTTCAATCCCTGGTCAGGGAACTAAGATCCCCCAAGCTGTGCAGTGCAGCCAAAAAAGAAATATACCATCTTGAACACTGGTCTCTTATTGACACAAAAATCTCCAAAACCTATGTCTGAGGCAAAAGAAAAACAGCATTATAATATTATCCTATTTGTGTAAAATTACTTCATATTCATACATCTATATGTGTAGATACATTTTCAAAGACACATGTATGGAAAAATATTTACAAAACTTTTAATGGTAATCATCCACGTGAGATGGAATTTCAGATTGTTTCCACTTCTTTACACTTTTCTGCTTTAATTTTTAAGAATACTCCTGTAATTTTTTTTAATTTTCCTGTAAACAAGGTGAGTGGGAGAGGGCAAGCACACAAAAGAAAACTGAATAAACTATTAGTGTACTTGTATCAACCTGTCTCCCCTATTTGGAGTATTATTTGTCACATGGGGGACACTAATGCAGCACACTTGAGATCTTTTATTTACACTTGTAAGAAGGGCTACTTCTGGGAAAGTTTCTAGAGAAACAAGAAAGTGAGATGGTAGAAACCTAATGGGTGGTAATCACTACGTTAAGGTGTTCAGACTTCATTCTGTGGATGAGAGAAAAACACTGAGGGGTTTTTGAACAAAGTAACAATCAACTGTTTTTTAACAAGATATCTTTGGTAGCATTTATAATACAGACAGACAAGAAAGGGAGTAAAGGCAAAGAGATGCATTAGAAAGTTTTGGTTACATTGTTTTTTCTAATCTGGAGAAATGGTACCAAATTTTTATCACTGGTATCTCTGGTAGATGAAAATATAGGGAGTCTCCCCCTTTTGGTGTTTATACATTTCAACAACTCTTGCACTTCTTAAAATAAGAATGTATTATACTTATAATCAGAAAAAATAAGAATGGCTATCACAGAAACTCAAAGAGGGTGCAGGGGAAATGATGAAAGCTTGGACTATAAGCTCTAAAAGGGCAGGAAATTGATCTGTCTTATTTATCACTATATTCCTAGTACCTTGCACACTGCCTAGCACATATGAGGTGCTCAATAAATGTGTCAAAATAAACAAAAGAGTGAATGAGTGAACAAATGAATATCCTGAAGGCTCAAAGAAGAAGACACATTTCAGAAGTAAAACATACGTTTGTTGATCAACATAAAGGCCAGCAACAGGAAGAAATCAAAGATAACCCTAAGTTTTTTGGACTACTTGGCTAAGAGAATGATGAGCCATTAATCAAGATAAGTAAATCTACAGGAGGTATAGGTATAGAGAAAAGCAAAGAGATCATGGCAAAATGCCAATGAACTTGGAAGACATTAAGTTTCAGGAACCAGTGGGGAATCTACCCTGAAGATACAGATTTGGAAGTCACTCCTAGAAGTTTATATCAGAGATCAGAGCTACCACACACCATAGTTTATGGACCCTCATGCTCTTTGTCGATGACAGAGTAGAACATGCAGATCAAAACGGAATACACCACTCTTCTGGGTGCCCTGATGCCCTAACCTGATCTTTTTGCCTCACCGATTTTTAAACGCAGATTATGAATAAATATACTTTATAGAGTCTTCATCTCTCATTTGCTTCCTAACAGGATACAAAGGCCCACAGCTATATTTCATATTTTCACTATTTGCTACAGACAGAATTCTGGGTTCACAGATACAGGAAACATAAGAAATTCAATACACATGGTATTATTTACCACAAACATGCAAAATTTATATACTAGTTTTATTCAACATTATTCACTGGCAAACTGTCATGATACAATCATTTTCCACATACTACTGACTTTTTAAAGTTTCAGTTTGAAACTTGAAATACTTTTGAAAAAACAAGTGTTTTGAGAGAGCATCCTTTATCAATAGACCATGTCTTTACAGATGTTTATTCACATGATAGGGCAGGAAAAGGGTTTTTTTGATACTTTTTTCCAACTTATTCCGGGATTACAACATGATACTTCCAACTATCCTCACCTATGCGAGTCTCTTCCCCCTCCAATTCATTCTACCTATGAATTGAAAACAAAATCAAAACCTTCTCATTTCCTTTGTTCCAACTCTACCTCTCAAAATCCATCCTTCATATTTTAAACTGACCTTACTCTAAGCTCAAAAGGTCAACAAGTAGGTTAGGCTATACTCTAAATGCAGAAACACACAACATAAGGCTAATCTGAATTGGAAACGAAGAAGTAAAACTATTCATTGTTTGCAGAAGACATGTTATTATACAAAGAAAGTCCTAAAGACACTACTAAAAACCTACTAGAGCTCATCAATTAATTCAGGAAAGTTGAAGGATACAAAATTAACATACAGAAATCTGCTGCATTTCTATACACTAACAACTATCAGAAAAGAAATGAAGGAGATAATCCCATTTACAATCACATCAAAATGAATAAAATACCTAGGAATAAGGAGGTAAAGACCTGTGCTCAGGAAACTTAAGACACTGATAAAAGAAAATGAGAACAACACAAACAAATGTAAATATATACAGTGTTCATGGATTTGAAAAATAATGCATAATATGCATAATAATTTGATTTACATACATCATGAAGTGATTATTACAATAAGTTTAATAAAAATCCATCATCTCATATAGGTACAAAATTAAAGAACTAGAAGAAAAAAAATGTTTTTCTTGTGATGAGAACCCTTAGGATTTATTCTCTTCACAACTTTCATATATAACACAGAGCAGTGTTAATTATATTTATCATGTTGTACATTACATCCCTGGTATTTTGTAACTGGAAGTTTGTACCTTTCGACTGCCTTTATCCAATCCCCCCTTGACCCACCGCATCCCCCCACCTCTAGTAACAACAAATCTGATCTCTTTTTTTATGAGCTTGTTTGTCTGGGTTTTTTTGGTTTTTTTTTTTTTTTTTTTAATTTATTTTTGCCCTGCGCCGGGTCTTAGTTGTGGCCTGTGGAATATTTTAGTTGCCGCATGCGGACTTCTTAGTTACAGCATGCATGCGGGATCTACTTGTCCGACCAGGGATTGAACCCGGGCCCGCTGCATTGGGAGCGGGGAGTGTTACCCAGGGAACCACCAAGGAAGTCCCTGTTTGTCTGTTTTTGAAGTATAATTGACCCTTAATACTATGTTAGTTCCTGTTACACAACATAGTGATTCAATATTTCTATACATTTCAAAATGATCACCATAATAAATCTAGTTACAATACATCACCATAAAAAGATATTACACAGTTATTAACTATACTCCCCATGCTGTACATTTCACACCCAAGACTCATTTGTTTTGCAACTGGAACTTTGTACCTCTTAATCTCCCTCACCTATTTCTTTCTTCCCTCTGCCTTCTAGTTTACTTTTTAAATGGTCAAGTCCATCATCTCATTTTAGGACCACAAGAAAGAAAAGCCTAATTACCAAACCACAGTAAAAGAAATAGTTATTTCTGCAAAATAAAAGAGAAAAAGGCAATTCTTATTTCAGAATACTTGAAAGAGCAATGCAAATTCTCTAGGTACATAAAGAAATTAAGCAGCAGAGGGCAGACAGCAGAAGCAAGAAGAACTACAATCCTGCAGCCTGTGAACAAAAACCACATTCACAGAAAGATAGACAAGATGAAAAGGCAGACGTTTATGTACCAGATGAAGGAACAAGATAAACCACAGAAAAACAAATAAATGAAGTGGAGATAGGC